GCAATGCCTGCAGAGGTCAAATGAGGGTGCTGGATCCCCTGGAACTGGAGTTATGGGTGGTTGTTAGCTGCCATGTGGGTGCTAGGAATCGAACCCTAGTCCTCTGCAAGAGCAGCCAGTGCTCTTAACCTCTGAACCATCTCTCCAGCCCCTTATTTATTTAATTTTTATCTTATGTGTATGAATGTTTTGTCTGTATGTATGTAAATGCACTTGTGTTGCACAATGCCCACAGAAGCCAGAAAAAGGGCATTGGATCCCCTGGAACTAGAGTTACAGATGGTTGTTAGCCACTGCTGGGAACTAACCTGGGTCCCCTGTAAGCACAGCCAGTGTTCTTAACCACCGAGCCATCTCTCCAGACCCTTGTTTTGTTGTTTTTGTTTTGAGACAGGGTCTCACATAGCCCAGGCTGGCCTTGAATTTACCGTGCAGCAGAGGCTATCCTTGAACACCTGCTCTTCCTCTGCCTCTACTTCCCAAATGCTGGGGTAACAGGTGTTTACCACCATGCCCGCTTTCCACGTATCTATCATCTAACTTGAGAAATATATTAGTCGGTGCCTTTGAGGACCTGTGGGTGCCCTCATCCCACTCCCTTTTCTGGACAGACTGGTGTCAGGAACCTGTAGGAACCATTGCCTTGCTTTGCTGCCTTTGTGTTAACACTGTATCATTTAGCTGTGCTTTTTGTTACTTTAGGCAAATAGACTGATTCTGTAATAATGTGGCTTCCCTTTGCACACAGCCTTATGATGTTAGGAGTCCATGTCTGTTGCCTGCATACCTATAATTTATTTATTTTGCTGCTGAATAACATCCCACTTCATGAAGATACTCCTGGTTATTTTTCCATTCATCTGTTGTTAGCTGTTGTTTCTATGAATTTTTTTTCTTGTAATAAAGAGTAGACTATATATTCTTGTACCTGTCTTCTTTTTCTCTTTTCTTATTTACTTATTTATTGATAGGGTCTTGCTATGTAGGCCTGGCTAGCCTGGAACTTCCTTTGTAGACTAGGCTTGACCTCTAATTTGTGATCCTTTTGTCTTTGTCTCCTGAGTGCTGGGATTATAGGCATGCAACCATGCCCAACATGTATATATAGCGTAATTGGAGTTGAAGAAATGGTCATTCAGAGGTTGGGAAGGGTAAAGCCGCTGTTACAGGCCTGGAGCTGGTGGGGCTAGAAGTCGCACAGGCCTCCCTGTTGCATCCATCTCCCTGAACACCTGCTTGTGGAGGCCACAGGAGGCTGAAGGAAGGAGGAATTGAACATGGCTAGTTGGTCTTGAGGTTGTTCCTTGGGCTTACTGGATGCCATCTGGACATATGTTTGGTGCCTGACTTCCCGGTCTTCCTCTTTCCCTCCCTCTCTTCTTCCTTTCCCTCCCTCCGTCCTTTCTCCCTTCTTCCTTTTTTTCTTTTCTTTTCTTTTGAGACAATGTATTGATACATAGCTCAGGCTAGCCTTGAACTTTCAATCCTCTCACCTCAGTCTCCCAAGTGCTAGTATTATAGGCAAGCCTCAGTCACTGACCTTGGCTGCTTGGTCATCTTTGAAGCCCCATCTCTATCCCAAAAGCATAGTAACTTCCATACCTGGCAGGCTGAGGAGAGAGTGAACCCAAAGCCTCCTTACTGAATGCCCACTCAAGACTGGGGCTAGGAACTTCATGTGCTCATGGTCACTTTAGGAAAACTCAGAGCACACTGTCCCCCCATCTCCTGCATCTCTTCTTGCATCTGTGCTCAGCGATGGTGGACATGGTTCACTGTGGTAGCCATGTTTATAGTGGCAGAAATATTCAGTGACATGTCCCTGTTAATATGACGACGCTACCACCTACCACAGCTGTCATGTCTCATATTCTGAGTGCTCACCAAGTTGTGGCACCATGCCAGTGCCTGGCAGGCACTTTTGTGCCTCTGTTCTTGCCCCTCCCTGGGCTTGTAGTGCCCTCCCCTCCCATCCTAACTACTGCTCGTGCATTCCATTCAACTTTAGTGATGTCACCTCCTCTGTGAGGCTTGCCGTGACTCCTCACATGCAGAGTGGCTTCCTCCTCTGTGCTCCCACTGTACCTGCTGGGGTCTTCTCCACATGCTGGGTTATCACTGCCAACCTGGGACTTCCTCTGTTGGGGGGACTAGGCTGGGATTCTACCAGTGCTCCCACACCCGGTGCTGTCCATCCAGCAGCTAACAGAGGCAGCTGGCAGGGCTAGCGATGAGTCACACCACTCCCTGCAGTCTCTTTCTCTTCCGGCTTGTGACAGCTCCTTCCTGCGAAGCTCTCCTCTGCAGAAGTCGGGGGAAGTCCAGCTCCACATACAGCTGGATTTTTGCAAGCCTTGGCTGCAGTCCCTAGGAGTCTTCCGGGATCTGATGGTGCTGAACCCATCCCACTCTGCCTCTCTTCTGTCTTGGAGGCTTGGCTTGGCCACTCCCTTCCTGGAGTCTGTGTGTCCTCTGCCACCTGGAGGCGGTCCATGGAGCTCTGAACTGTCACTCCTTAGGGTTGGGTAGGGAAGACTGGAGAGGAAAGATATCAGGAATGACCCCAGCTCAGGCTGGGGGCATGACCCAGGAACTGGGCTCTCCTAGAGGCAGGCTGGATGGTCACTCTCATGCCTTAGCAGTTTGGCCACAGAATGGCAGGGCCTCCTGGAAGTGGAGAAGGAACACTCCTGTGCTCTGAGGCTTCTGGCATATTTGAAAAAGACCTGTCAAAGCAAGGTT